TCTTACAGTAGCTTCAAGACTTCTCTATCTATAGAGCACTGATGATAAAAAACATCTAGTTTAATGATAAAGTTTATCCACAGTGAGGGACACCTGGAGAGGTACACAGTTACATGGAGAAGAGAAAGGGAGGAGGAAGATAGAGCTGATCAGGAGAAGAAGAGGGGGCATTAAAAGGGGAGAGAGCAAGCCAGTCAGTAATCACTTCCCTATGTGCTCTCCACAGTCTGGATCCCTCAGAGATGTTCAGGGAGGTACACAGAGAATAGAAGACAGAGGAAGGAGACAGAGGTGGCTAGGAGGATAAAAGCAGGAAGCAAAAGGAGACAGACAGATGCAGCCAGTAATCAGTTCCTTAAATGTTCTCCATAGACCAGAACACACAAAGATATTCATAGAGTTGAGTAGAGAAGAAAAGGGGGAGGAGGGAGATAGAGGCGATCTAGTGGACAAAAGGGGGGGGGGGGTAAAAGGGACAAAAAGGGGGGTAAAAGGGGGAGAGACCAATCAAGCTAGTGATCTTGCTCCCAAGTAAAAATGGGTACTGAATATGGATTCTCAAAGGTACAAAGTTGATAACAAATACCAAAAAGCAAAGATTAAAAATCTAGGTCAGAGGGTAGATTTCCAAAAATACAATATTGAAAACAAAATCACAAAAATTACAAATTATATATATATGTAATGTTTGCTATAAAAAATAGGTCTTTATTTGGGGGGGTGGAGCAAGGATAAAGTATGTGATAAAATGAATATTAAAGGAGTAATAGAGGACTTAAAATATTTAAAAATTAATTTAAAAATGATAATAGTAAAAATATATCTAGGAGTTCCTCTGGAGCTGTTCAGTTCAGTTCAACTGGGTTCAGTTCATTTTCAGATAGTTCCTTGATCCGGCTTATACTTCTCAAGGTCTATAGGCCCCTTCCTATGCAGTCAGTGCTAACTACAGAGTTTTAATCTATTGCACCTGTCACTTCCCAGGAGGTTCTGTCTGTTTATTTTAGTTTTTGTTTTTTATTTTATTTTAGTTTGCTGGTCTCTTCAGTGTCTAATTTCCGCCCTGACACAAGGAGGGGGTGGGGGGGGGAGTGGGGGTAGTGGTGGTCACTTGTTCTAGGCTCACTTGTTCAGTCATGCCGTAGGGAGAGAGGAACACGGCAAACAAATATTATGGGTGTGTATTGGGCGTGCTCACAGTGTTTCAGCCACACTGAGTTTGCCCCCACTTACTGAGTGCTTGCTTTCCCCATCTACACTAATCAGGCTCTAGGTTGTTCTGCGAGGAACTGTGATGCAGGCCCTAGGTTGCATGCACTCCCCAGGTCTAAGCTGCTCAGGTTCAGGTTTTCAGGTACTCCATAAAGGTGCAGATTTGGTTGGGCCTACATTTTGAGCCCATCCCAGGTCTGAGCTGCTCAGGTGACCAGGTACTTGGTGGGCTCAGTCACCCCCAGTTGAGGGCTGATGCTTCTCACCTCCCCCATCCCAGTGGCTGTTTTCTGGTTGTCCAACAGTGCACCTTCTCAGGTGTACTGTGTGTCTCTTCTGGGGAGCTGATCTCTGGCTGCAACCAGATGTTGATTGTACAGAATCCCAAGACGTCTTGGTTAATAATTAAGTTGGCTTACAGTTTGGTATAGGATGCCTCTCTGCGGCCGTGATTGTCCCCTTCTGGCTCTGGCAGACCCCGCTTGCCTGTCTCCAGCTGGTCCATAACCAGCTAGCTCTACTCAGTCCTTTGTTCTGTGGATGGGCCTGACAGTGTCTTGGTAAGCCTTTTTGCGGGATAGCTATCCCACAGTCTGAGTTTCTATCTCAAGTTACTTCCCTCAGATTACCCTGGGGGCATTCAGGTCCAGGCCTTATCCTAAGCAATGCAGCCCAGGCCTCCCTGTCCAGCCTCCACTTGCTAGTGGGGGATGCGAGCGTCTGGGATGCTGCTCCGCTGGGAGTTGCTGTTAGGCATGTAATCTGTGGGTTTTAATTATTTATTTATTTTCCTGCCGGTTAATTTGCACTCTGAGATTCCAAGGCTCACCACAGGCCTGCCAGAGAGAGTGTTCCCTGGTGTTTGGAAACTTCTGTTTTTCTTTTATATTTTGTCTTACCTCCTTTTGAAGAAAATGGGCTGCCTCTCGGGGTGCCTGATGTCCTCTACCAGCATTCACAAGTTGTTTTGTGGAATTTGCTCAGTGTTCAAATGTTCTTTCAAAATCAATTTGTGGGGGAGAAAGTGGTCTCCCCGTCATATTCCTCTGCCATCTTAGGACTGTTCCCATCGACTTCTTATTTCTTACAGAAAAATCTCCATTCTGATGTTCAAATATGAATTATAGGGAAATTCAGCATCCATGAAAGAAATCCAGCATCCATACAATTTTTTTTAAATAAAAAGTACAGAGAATTCCATATTTCAGAGTAGAAAATTGTTGTCTTTTTATATGTATAAGAATTACAAAGGATTCCATATTTCATAAAGGAACAGTGGTTCCCATATTCCATTTTTAATTGTGCAAAAAAACCCTGATTTTCATGTGAAATATAAAGAATTTCATATTTTATGTAGTTAAATGGGTGTACAGACTTTGATATGTGAAATATACAGAACTGAAGATTGCTTCTGGGAAATGGCACTCAGTTTTCTTATGTGATATACAAGATATTCAATACTTCCTCTAGGAAAATTTGATTTTCATATGTGATATAGTATTTCATTTGTCATGTAAAAAATGGGTGGCCAGATGTCAAATGTGATATATAGAGAATTCCATATTTCAAGTGGAAAACTGGCACCCATATAATCATATGTGAAATATAGAGAGCTCAATAATTTTGTTACAAATATCTGACATGAGATTTCCTTATATGAAAACCTCATAGGTTATGTATGAAAACCTGTTCATAGATTTCTATATCTGAAATATAGAGATTTCATGGTACATGTAGGAAAATTTGTTCCCAGATTTTCATAATGTCAAATATAGAAAATTACATATTTATGTCAGAAAATCTTAATTAGGATTTTGATATATGAAATACACAGAATCCTATATATTGATAGAGCAGAAAAAACTTTGCTCTAATTATCCACTGTAAAATATACATAATCCATATTTCACTTAGGAAAACTTCTAATGTGATATCCATACTTGAAACATAAAATTCCATATATCACATATGAGAATCTATGTCTGCAAAGCCTGTGCTAATATGCTTACTGTGAAGTATAATGGCTTTGATTTTTAATGAAGGAAAACTAATGTCCGTATGTTCAAAAAATAAAGATAATTCTATATATTGTGTAGAAAGTGTGAAACAGATATTCTCAAGTGTAATATGAAGACTTTTTCATTCCAGATTTTCATATATAAAAAATCATGAATCCCATATTTATGCATGAAAATTCATGCCTAGATTTTCATTTGTGAAATATAGATAATTACATATTTGATGTGGAACAAACAGCATGTGTATTTTCATATGTGAAATATAGAGCATTCTATACTTAAATCAAGAAAATCTGTCTTCAGATTTTCTTTTTTTAATCTGAAATATAAAGCGTACCAAATTTCATGTAACTTAATCTCTGTCTAGACTTTCATTTGTGAAGTTTTAATATTTTGTATTTCAGGAATGAAAATTTGCACCTGGAACTTCATGTTTGAACTGTAGCGAATTACATACTTCTCAGAAAATTCAACTGAGTAGCTCATTTATGAAATATAAATTTCCATATTTCAAGCAGGAAATTGTGTGCTTAAATTTTCCTGTGTGAGTAACAGAATTCTATATTCGTGGCAGAAAGTATATACACAGATATTCACATGTGAAACATACAGTAAACCATATATCATGACTAAAAGTATACAGCTAGATAATTAAATGTGATACAAATTTCATACTTCATGTGGAAAACCTGCACCCATATTTTCATATGTGGAATATAGAAAACTGAATATCTTGTGCAAGTAAATCATCATGCAGATTTGCACATGAATGGCACAGAACAACCAAGACAGGGCTCTGGAATAACCCAGAGGAATACAGTGGGAAGGAAGGTGTGGCAGGGCTTACGTATCTGTAGGACACATGTACGCATATGGCTCATTAACACTGATGTATGGTAAAAATATTGCATCACAATATTGCATACTAAACATCATACAGTTAAAATAAATTTGTTTAAATTATTAACAAAATGAGATGAAAGAAATGTACAAGGACTTCTACACAGTGCTCTGTGTTGGCCTGAATGGGAAGGCATTCCAAGAGGGAAGGGATCTATGTATGCATAGCATTGATTCATTTTGATGTTCAGCAGAAACTGATACAAGACTGTAAATCTACGATACTCCAATAAAAGTTGTTCAAAAAGATTCAATTCAAAAAATATTCAATTCAATCTAGGAAGACAAAAACTTTATCATCACATGATATTGTTAGTCAAAATACCTGAGTTACAGAAACAGAGAAGAGAATATAGTTATCAAAGCTAGTGGAAATGGGTCATAATGGTCCATATTACCAACTTTTATCATAGCTTGGATAATCACACCAAGGAAGACACTACAATAGGGGCAGGATGGACATGGAGCTGAAGCCCTTAGCTCAAGACCATCAGTGAAGTTAGAAGACCAGCTCCACCAACAGTAACACACACACACACACACACACACACACACACACACACACCTTTAAAAATCCTCCTGAAATACCCAAAAGCTTTCAGCAAAACCCACTTCCAGGAAAGGTGAGGGAGGCATGTGATTAACTGTTGCAAATTTCTTGCTATCAGATTCTCTGTACTTGAAGTATATGCTACAGCATCTTTGCCAGGGCCCTCTAGGCCCTCTGACCTTTGACTGGTTACCAAGTTCTGGAGTAGGTAGACAAGCTAAAGGCTGTGTCTTGAAGAGACCCAGTGCTCTTGCTAGAGCCACTCACGGGCCTGGCCCAGAGTTCAGAGCAACAGCCAAACTACCTCTCCCATCCCCTCCTCAGTGACCTAAAGCTTGTGGCGATCTGCATGGGTCACATTCTATGGGAACCCAGATCCCATTGGGGGAGACTGAAACTACTGAGTGCCAGTTGTTTGCTGGACACATGGCTCCCTCACTGAAGGTGGTTGTACAGGATATGAGGACCTTGGTAAGAGGAGGGCAAAGAAAACTGAGAGCTCCCTCCTCAGCAGGGACTGGGTACTGGTGGGAGCATCGAAACTGGGTGCTGGATGAATGTTCCCAGACAGGAAATGAGGGACCCCTTCCTTCTAACCAGAGGCTTGGAAGATGAAAGTCAATACTGGAACCTTTTCTTTCAGCATAAGGAATAATATTTTGCTGAAAGTTTACAGGAACACAGTTACACCACATGATCTTACTTCAAGTACAGAGGATCTGACAGTAAGAAATCTGCAACAGCTAATCAAAAGCCTCCCTCACTTTTCAATAAAAAAAAAAACTGGAGTTTGCTGAAAGCTTTGGGGGGTTTCAGGATTTTTAAACGCATAAGCCACCCATCATAAGCCCTGCAACAACTCTCTCTCTGCTTTAAGCTCCAATCTTCCAATACTGCCTAGCCTAACTAGGCTGCATACATGGATGCTTGTTAACAGTATCACCATATCTCTGATTTCTGTGGAGGTTAAGACAGTATCTGTGAGAAGGACTCTTTCCAAAATCACATACAGTCATTAAAGTATGTAAAGTTTATCACTTTTCTGTAGAAAGCAATGAGTAAACACTGGTGTCTACCCCAATCACCAAGTTAATTTAGGACAAAATAACTGGAAAAAATGCTGTGATTAGGTCTCGTTTTGAGTACTATTTTGTATTTTGTAAATTTTGCAATTAACTGTGTTTACTAGAATCAGTTCAGGTTCTCAGTAATGTCTGAATCTGTGCCACTCCATGAACTTCGGCATGCCAGGCTTCCCTGTCCTTCTAAATCTGATGAGCAATGTCCAATTCATGTTCATTGAGTCGGTGATGCCATCCAGCCATCTTGTCCTCTGTCTTTTCTTTCTCTTCCTGTCTTCAATCTTTCCCTACATCAGGGTCTTTTGCAGTGAAATGGCTCTTCACATCAGATGGCCAAAGCATTGCAGCTTCAGCTTTAGCATTAGTCCTCCCAATGAACATAAAGAACTGATTTCCTTTAGGATTGATTGGTTTGATTTCCTTGCAGTCCAAGGGACTCTCAAGAGCCTAATGCAATACCACAATTGAAAAACATCAGTTCTTTGACACTCATCTTTCTTACTGGTCCAACTCTCACACCCATTCACAACTACTGCAAAAATCATAACTTTGATTATACAGACCGTTGTCAATAAAGTAATGGGCCTGCTTTTTAAAATGCTGTTTTTAGGTGTGTGATAGCTTTTCTTCCAAAGAGCAAGCATGTTTTAATTCCATTGCTGCAGTCAAAAGCAGTGGTTTTGAGCACCAGCCCCCCCCCCCAAAAAAAAAAAAAGAAAGAAAGAAAGGAAAGAAAAGAGAGAGAGAAAGGAAGGAAGGGAAGGAAAGGAAGGAAGAAAGGAAGAAAGAAAGTTGGACACTTTTTCTGTTTCATCTGTCATTCCGCGACAGGTCCAAATGCCATGGTCTTAGTTATTTGTACCTTGAGTTTTAAGTCAACTTTTTCACTCTTCTTTTTCACTTTTCAACCAGAGGTTCTTTAGTTCCTCCTCACTTTCTGCCATAAGGATGGTGTCATCTGCATATCAAGGTTATTCTTATTTCTCCCTGCCATCTTCATTCCAGCTTGTGCTTCATCCAGTCCTTCATTTCTCACGATGTATTCTGCATTTGTTAAGTAAATAAGATGACAATATTCAACCTTGACATACCTACCTTTTTCCTAATTTGGACCAGTCCATTGTTCCATACTCAGTTCAATATATTGTTTCCTAACCTGTATTCAGAAGTCTCAGGAGGCAGGTCAGATAAGGTGGTCTGGTATTCCCATCTATTTAAGAATTTTCCAGATAGTTGTGATTCACACAGTCAAAGTCTTTAGCATAGTCAATAATTTGCTGGATCTAAATGAAGCACAAGCTAGAATCAAGATTGCGGAGAGAAACATCAATAACTTCAGATATGCAGAGGATACCACCGTTATGGCAAAAACTGAAGAACTAAATAGTCTCTTGATGAAAGTGAAAGAGGAGAGGGAAAAAGTTGGCTTAAAGCTCAACATTCAGAAAACTAAGATCATGGCATTTGGTCCCATCACTTCATGGCAAAAAGAAGAGGTAACAGTGGAAACAGTGGCTGACTTTATTTTTCTGGACTCCAAAATCACTGCAGATGGTGATAGCAGCCATGAAATTAAAAGATGCTTACTCCTTGTATGGAGAGTTATGGCCAACCTGGACAGCATATTTGTCAACAAAGGTCCGTCGAGTCAAGGCTATGGTCGGTTGTTCCAGTAGTCATGTATGGATGTGAGAGTTTGACTATAAAGAAAGTTGAGTGCAGAAGAATTGATGCTTTTGAAGTGTGGTGGTGGAGAAGACTCTTGAGAGTCCTTTGGACTGCAAGGAGATCCAACCAGTCCATCCTAAAGGAGATCAGTCTTGGGTGTCCATTGGAAGGTGTTCTGTATTGAAGCTGAAAGTACAATACTTTGGCAGCCTAATGCAAAGAGCTGACTCATTTGAAAAGACTCTGATGCTGGGAAAGATTGAGGGCAGGAGGAGAAGGAGATGACAGAGGATGAGATGGTTGGATGGCATCACTGACTCAATGGACATGAGTTTGGGTAAACTCTGGGAGTTGGTGATGGACAGGGAGGACTGGCATGCTGCAGTTCATGGGGTTGCAAAGAGTCAGATATGACTGAAAGAATGAACTGAACTGATGTAAAAAATATATATTTTTTCTTTGAAAAATGTTAGTAGTTTGCTTATCATGCACATCGCTTCCCCATCCCCCCACCCCCCCGCCCCCAACATAACTACTTTCTTGGTTGAGAAGACCCAGTTAGAGGGTTGAAATCTGTGACACAGATGAACATACTTCAGTACCAAGTGATAATATGGAAATAAATATTTTGCATATGTTGTATTCTTTCAAAATTTGTATGTTGAAGACCTAAATCTATTTGTATTTAGTCAAAATGAGTAAATTGTCATTTCTTGCTGACCCTATATGGAAATAGGACCTCTAAATAGGTAGTTAATACAATTGTTCCTCTGTAAGAAAAGGTGATCAGTCACAGAAAACACAGATATATTACTATGTGAAGCAAAAGTCAGAAGATGGACAGTCATAATCCAGAAGAAAGAAGACAAAACAAAACAAACCTCTGCTGACAATTTGATTACTGACTCGATCCCCAGAAGTTTGAGGGAAAAATTTATTTACGCTAACTGGTATGGTAGGATACACCTTGACACAGCAACACAAATACCGACAAACTCTTTGAAAAGAGGATTTCAATTTCAAATGAGACCGCCTTTTCCTACCTATGTACTTAGGGAAAGGAGACTAGTAAAGAACTCTCTTACCAATAATCCATACAGATTCCTAATGCTCCCTAATAATTTTCAAGTTTCTTTAGGGACTCAACTGGGTTAGAATTTATTCCAATTTTATGGGTACATTTGACCTAGGGAAAATTAGAATGGGAATAATATACAGGAAGTGGTGGAAAAATTAAGCATATCAGAAAGGCATTTTGACCTCGTCAGAAAGATACAGTCCACTCCTTTTATCCTTACCATAGATCTCTTTCTAAATCCCTAGGAGACAAAGGGTAGTGGCAAAGGAAGAGCTGCCTATTTCTTTAGTGAAGTCACAAAATTTTGATGCCATTACAACCTTGCCTCCTTAAGCTCCCTATAAAGACATTAGGCTGCAGTAGCCATGGGGAAGTTTAGAAGATCTCAAGGCCTCCCAGGCCATTGGAACCACATGGGCCTTTTCTCCAGACAGTTTGCCCAGGCATGGGGGTATCACCTTCTCTATGGCAGAATCTGTAGCCTACTGCCACCACACTTATCACCAGTCCTCTGGATTTCTGAGAACCCCAAGAGTCACCATTCCAGCTTGCAAACTACATGTCTGGAAAAAAAGAAAGAAAAAAGGGAATACAATCCACTCCAATCTGACAAGCTCTACCCCATGTAGATATATATGATCCTCAACTCCAACAAGAGCTGTGATGAGAAGAAAAACCTCAGCTTCAGGCAACCTCACTGTTAACACCAACAGCTATGTCAGGGACATGTTACAAGTACTGATAAAGAGTGAAGACTTTAAGTCCTCTACCAACTCGAGAAATTGTGACCCAAAAGATCTTTGACCTTCCATCTTAGCCAAACCTAAAAGACAGACTCTGTACTACAGCACAGGCCAAAAGCATCTTAAACTGAGAATAGTTGGAGGTAAGAGTACCAGGCACAGGATATTTTGGAGAAGACATCCTCCCAGATTGAAGTCATATAAAAATGATTTCTTCAGCTTGAGAAAGAAAGTGTCCATCTTAAAGATGACCCAGAAGATAGGACTCAGATCACTAATAACATTCAACTTAGCCCTAACACAGTGCAGGTTCCCTCTATAGAACTTAATCAGGAAATTCCAGTGCAGGTCTATCTGCAGCCTCTTAATTTTCATTTCTCAGAGGTTTTCATTCAATTAGCAGACAGTTCAAAAAATGGAAAACAGCAAGTCTCTAGTGGAAAACAATGAAGACTGCAAGAAAAGTGAATCTTGCCAGGATTAGTGACAGAGAATGCTACAGGCTGGTGACAAAATGGGAGGAGATGTAGAGAAGAATGAAGGGGAGACTTCAAAGCTAGGATCTGTCTTTTTGAGGTGGTGGAAGCTGCTCCAGATCTGACTGCAGGCCTTGGGGACATATTTCTAAATATAATAAACAAAGTTATCTCTGGCATCAGTAAACTTTTACAATTTTAAATCCTCAGCACACGAGATTAGACCACCTCAAGTGATATCGCTTAGAAATTCAGGAGATATTACTTCGGAGTGGGGGCTGGTACTTGCGGGAGACTTGCTCTAGCAGAATTATTCAAACACTTGCCATATTTAATAGAGACAGAGCCAGTATTCACCTGTGTATAGGTTGTTTTCTTAAGCATATTCCAATTAAGAGATCATATAACTACACATCTGGGGTTTCACTTTCTTTCTCTTTGAAAGCTTCTCCACTTACACAAAAGGAGATAGCACTAACTTGAAGTCACCTTTTAATATTAGGCTTTTTTCTCACACTTTTCTAAATAAGTCAGTTGTGCTAAATGACCTCCTGCCACTAAATATTGCCCACTGTATAGTAACTAGACTTGTCATACCAGAGATTTTCAAGAAAATGTAAGCACAGATAAAATGTAAAAGCACAGACA